GTTACTGGAGCCCATAGACATCCACAACGTAAATGCGCCACCTACCTTGAGATACAAGTTCTAAGGTCTCAAGTATAGTTACAACGGCTGCCCCACCTTTCAAACCGAAACGCATTACTGCTTCACGGCAGAAATATGCAGGGTGGTGGTACCCACCCGCGCGGACTCACAAGAGGTCCTACCACCAGTCGTCATAGTCGTAATTTTAAAGCTACGCTTGTTTCTTTTCACAATACAAATTTTACTCATACTAACAATCCAAATACACTGTATTAAACAATATTAAGTCTTAATTAAAATTTCAAGTAGCAAGAGATTTTGAACCAAGTAAAATCTACAATATAAATCTGCTTGCCTTGTGGTTTATCACTAAAGCTTAATGCGCTAACGAGATTTACACCTTCGAGAACTCAGCACAGCTTCACAAAGCACTCAGCTAAACATTGTTGCGAATTTAGCCCAATTTCAGTTCAGCAATAGTGTTTAAGTTGGAACACTATAGGTTGAATAATATTTTAAACATAATACACAGTTTATATACAGAGAATTGATAGAAGATGCATCTAATCACATACATACATCGTATACCAACAAAGCACATAAATTTGGACATGATTTACGCTTTTTAAAAAAGTTTCTAAGTTTTACCATATTTTACTTGTAGCCAAAATTTGAAATAATAGACAAACTTGTGAACATCTTATTTTCTTTTCATAGTAAATTCTCGAACTATGTTTGGTCACAATGGACTTGCCTGATTTATTGCATGTTTTTTTCTTCGAAGCTGTGCCATTTTCCTTCATTTTGAAAATAAATCCATTATTTTAGATTCATTAATACTATAATCAACAACTCTTTATACAAAGAACCGTCATGGTCGGATGTTGCCTAACACTCCAAATTCTTTTGATCTATTCTTATTGCCAATTATACTTAAATCCATTACTTCATTAATTCTGAAGTTCCAGAATATTTATTCAGGTGCAGCCTTCCTTTTCCTTAAATAGCCTGTGTATACTAATCTAGTTCTAATCGACTACGAGTCGAGATGTAGAAGGCATCACATACTTCCACTGGAGGAAAGACGTAGGATAGCTGATATTGTTCTTTATAGCAAAATAGCTCAGTCTGAGGTGGACTCGTCTTATCTTCTATCATACTAATCTAGTTTGCGTCCAGTGTAACCAACCACAATCATAATAATTATATAAGCAAATTCCTTTCACGCTCTACGACCGAATGATTCAGATTTTTTTATAAATCCTCCATTTCTAAACTAGAGTGCAGAGTATCATGTAGACGATCTCATGATGTGCAAAATAAACGGGATTTAGTACTCAAAGAGCTTAGCGTGTGTACATCGCGTCGTATCAAAGGTCATTGTTGTAAGCTTCGAACTATCTGCAAAATAAATTTCCCGCTTAAATAAACCAGCTAAACGTTTTCGTCTGAACAAAATTTGAATTATTGGGCAATTTATGGATTAACACATACTGTATGCCGCCATGATATCCAGACATGCATTATCACGAAGCATCGCATCAGCTGAAATTTACCTTTTATTTATTATTTATTGTACACCGATGTTTTACGAATAAAGGCAAAAATTAATGATATGTACAAAAGGCTAGTTTAAGTGGGACATGATTGAGAGATATGAGTTAATAATAATTAATACGCTTTTATTAGCTTCAGACGTATGTATGTTATAGTATGTTAGCATGTAACGGAATCTTTGAACATGATTTTGACCCCCTTCAAAACGTCGGATTAACTCGAAATTTGGTATACTTAGGGCCTTTGACAATCGAATATTAAAAAAATTGAAAAAGTTGAAATGAACTACAAAATGAAAAATAATTAATAGTTTAAAAAACTAACAAAATACGCTTTTATAGAAAATCCAACTAAAAAACAGAAAATAAATTTTAAAAATTTGAATTAAAATTTGTGTAAGAAAAAATGATTTCATTGTAAAAAAAAGCGTGGGGTGCATGGTATCAGTAGTTATAAATATTTTATGAACAGATATGAGTAGAAGAGTTATTTTGATAATATTCTGAAAAGCACCCCACGCTTTTTTTACAATGAAATAATTTTTTCTTACACTAATTTTAATTCAAATTTATTAAAATTTATTTTTGAAGTCAAACTTCTTTAGGCGCGTTGAAAGTAAAATTTGACTCGCAACAGATTCGGTACGGCTAGAGAGAAAAAATACAATTTAGGACGAGCGAGAATGAGAAAATAGAGAGAGCGTCTCGTGAACCACTATAATGTGGAAACGGAGTGAACGTGAAGTGAAAAGGACAAATCGAGCTAGGTCATTTGTCTTGTACACAGCATTCCCTATTATAGGAGAAATTTGATTTAAGGATGGAAAATTAAGAAAACCACAATAATACAAACCGCAAAAGAAGTTTCACTTCTTTCACGTGCACCAAGTTGCACGCGCACCATTTTTTTTATTATAATCGAGAGAGTACTTTGACAAAATTTTATTTATTTATGAACACACAAAAAAGAAGACATAGTACAGAGTAATAGGAAAATTATGTACAAAGGCACTGCTTATTTCTTTAAGAAGTCTCTTTCATCAGACATGCGAGAGGATTATGAGAATAATAATTAAAAGTGATGAGTGTGTGTAGAACAGCTAAAATAACAAATACAATATGAGAATTATAGTAAAGCACATACACATAGCTAATATTGTTAAACTTGAATATAAAATATTATAAGTAACACAGTTTATACGAAGAGTATAGAACAATGAGTATGCTTGTATTTTGGAACTTCCAATGGGAATGCGTTGCGGAATTAACGAAATGATCATTACGATACGAATCATAGTGAGCTTCATGTATTTTTTTTTTCTTCGATGGTTGGACGAGCTCACAGCCCACCTGTTGTTAAATGGTTACTGGAGCCCATAGACATCTACAACGTAAATGCGCCACCCACCTTGAGATATAAGTTCTAAGGTCTCAGTATAGTTACAACGGCTGCCGAAAAAAATTTTTCAAACCGAAACGCATTACTGCTTCACGGCAGAAATAGGCAGGGTGGTCAAATATTTTATTTACTACCTTGAAAAAAATTATTCAATAACCCAATTAAAGAGAGTAATACAGAAAATGAATCTAAATCTTATGATATCAGTGATTATAGTCGGTTTTTGATCACTGAGCATTCACTAGTTCATATAATTCGGAGAGCCGTTTGTTCGTATGAATTTTGAACTTGACCGTTTGTCGGCTTACAGCTGTAGATTACATATCAGCAACAGATAAGCTCGTCGTGATACTAAAACATATTTACCATTGATATTTCTATTCATACATTTTTTCTGATTACAGATTAAATAGACTTCTTTGTCGGCCTTTTTACCGAAGCGTATATTAGAAAGAAGTGGCTTTTTTATTAGACGTAGACGTAGACATAGATGCTGGTAAGTAATGAGAGCGTTCTTCATAAGTTGCAGTTGCATGCAGTAGATGTGAGGCGACACGGGGAAGCATTTTATGTAGTAATTTGTTTCTTTATCGTTTTGGAACCCGAAACAAGATCCCGCCCAGCTGAGCCTTTGAGCTCGGTCGGTGAAGTTAGGACGGACAAGAGAGATCCCTTTTTCCTAAAAAAAAATATGCTAAAAGGCATCTTCTTCGCGTTATCCCATATTATGTGGAATAAGGGCATTAAAGTTTTGCATCTTTATTTATTACTTAGATCACATAGCTCAGACCAAATAGATAAATAAGCAAGCAGACATGAGAAGAGTCCACCTATACTATCTAGAACTACTGCATTCATTCACAGTGCGTTTCCAAAGATATTTTTCCCACGTAAGATACGGCCTTGGAATGAACTCTCCTCTACGGTGCTTCCCGACTGCTATGACATATCCTTCTTCAAATGAGGCTTACGGAGAGTACTCAGTGGTAGGCAGTGACTTGTAAGTACCCCTGGCATTGCTGACGTGTATAAGCAACGATAGCCGCTCACTCAGGTGGGCTGTATACTCATCTACCTACAAGGGCAATAAAAAATATATATAGGAAATCGAGTTAGTGAAAATATGTAGGAAGTAAAAAAACAAAGCAAATTAATCATCGAAAATTCACACGCAATCCACTCATCGACACATTTGTTTGATTCGCGGCGGGGATGTTGATAGACAATAACGGAACCAATCACGCGAAGTACTATTATTGGTATTATGTGTTAAGCACAAAAGAAAAAATAATAATTGATTGATAGTGACCGCCTGGGGTAAAGCTTTAAATTGGCTTCAAAAATTGAATAAGATCAGAAAAATACTTCTGTTCATTCTACATTAAAGTACAATTAGTATTATGCGCTAACTAGGTTTTAACTTCTCTGACTGACAACCTAGGAATCTGTTACAACCAAATCCAGGGGTAACCCGAGTCTGCCAGTTTTACTACTGTTGAGGCAGCACTCGTCTTAAGTTGGATTAAAAGATTGGACCTTAACATGGGATTCAGAAAATCCCAGACCCTGTGGTTTTATCGACCTAAAAGCATCGTGGATGCTTACATCATCGTTGGAGATGTCCGTATTGAATTCGGGGTACTTTTGAATTACCTCGGCCTAATGCTAGACAGCTCTTGGAAGTTTAACTCTCGCTTCGCAAGACTGCTTCGAATGGCCGGCGGTCGGCTTCTTCCCTACACCGGGGGCCTGACGATATCCCGCTTCTATATGAGGGTAATGCGATTGATAGCTTTATACGTCACCGCACGGAGCCATTCTTTGTAAGCGACATGTGTATTGTTGGAGACGCCAATTTAGGTTCTGGAGGCAAAGGCTGCTGATTAACATTTAGCAGAATTTACCTCTGTGCTCGAGACGTTATTCTACACTACATATAAACATGGTCCGTGAGGGCTGGCCAATCCATCGATCGGCGTGCCAACCATCGAGGCGATTCGCTCAGTGTTCCGGGACTGGATCAATCACGACCGCGTACTCCTCACCTTTCGGCTGGTATGGATGCTGACCGAGTATGTTTGTTTTGGGAAGTACTCGCACCAAATTGGAACTGAGCCGATGGCTGAGACTCATCGTTGTGGATGTGACTGAGATCTCGCATCCCAGTTGTACCTTTATCGCACAAAGAGATTGTATTTAATTTCGACATTTCCCGCCTATTGTCAAACAAACAGCACTTTTAAATAACAACAAGAACAATGATGTATGTATGTAGAAGAGTTCATTGATTCTAGTTTATTTGAAGCGGTCAAAAAGACAGATGTCGAAACCATCGAGATATGAAATTTATTACCTTTGATTATTACGTTATTCAGTTTATCGCTATACATTTTAAATCGCATAATAACGTAAATATAATTTAGGTCCTTGAAGTAAAGAGGAAAATATGTTAAAGGAGTACCAATAAAATAAAAATGTATTTAATTAAACCTATCGAACGTACAAAAATTGGTTCCATCCGTTCAATAGAAATTGAAATTAGAGAGTGCGCGTAGACGTGAAGCGCCTATCGATCGGCACTGCAATAGTGTTATGGGCACACAGAAAAATGTGTTTTATTTGTTAAAATACTTAACGCTTTGTTTTAAGGTTCAAATTGCATGACACATGAAAAAATTAACAGTAACATCGACTCGCCCAGACTACAAGGTGCAGGCAAAGGTTGAAGCAGCCGATTTCGCTCGACGATACCTTTCGACGAAAGCTTTCGAGGCTAAGGATCCAGCACGGTCCGCTGATATTTTAGCCACCGCGCTTGGATGACACCAAGTCTGGGTAGTGGCTTACCCTGGTCACCGGTGGTAGGACCTCTTGTGAGTCCGCGCGGGTGGGTACCACCACCCTGCCTATTTCTGCCGTGAAGCAGTAATGTGTTTCGGTTTGAAGGGTGGGGCAGCCGTTGTAACTATACTTGAGATCTTAGAACTTATATCTCAGGATGGGTGGCGCATTTATGTTGTAGATGTCTATGGGCCCCAGTAACCACTTAACATTAGGGGGGCTGTGAGCTCGTCCACCTATCTAAGCAATGAAAACAAAAAAACCGTTGCACCCCTACATTGCGAAAGTCGAAGCATCACGACGTTTTGTGCAGCACCACACGGGAGCACCTGCACGTGTAGGCGCCACCGCCCTGCCCATTACTGCCGCGAATCAGTAATGCAATCCAGTTTGAAGGGTGGGAAACAATCTACAATCGAGACGAACACCAAATAAGTCGATACGATAAGATCAAAACATTTGAGCATCACGAGAATGGCTTGTAAACAGGAATGAAACGCTATTTACAATGTTTCGATTGCCGCAACCTGTTTACTCGAACGTACAATTCACTCAGTGACATAAAATAATCTATCCTTTTGTTTCCGTGTTCAATGAAGCAATTTTGACACAACATTTTGTTTGAATACCGAATTCAGTTATCCTTATTTCAGTGTACTATAATTTTTTTGAAATGCAAGTTTGATAATATGGGTTAATATTTATTTCACGTTCGTGAACGAGACGTTTGATTGCATTCTTTTGCATTTAGTGTTTAATAATTTAATCATTTTTACACTTTAAATGACTTAAATAGTAACGGGATGTTCAACAAAATAATTACATGAAATAATAGTTCGGTTTGTGTTTGTAATTTATAATACCTAGTTAACAGTTTATAAGTAACTAATTAAACAAAGCTCTACCATAATTACCTGTCTATAGTTGAGCCATTTTTGCCTACCTAATCACTGCTAGCCTAAGGGGCTATTTTACGCAAGGACCGGTAAGGAGTTTCTGGGCTCAAACTGAAAAAAATGGCAAGACTGACCTTAGTCGTGCTGCTAGACCGTAGTGCTTCGTTGAATCTACCACCGGATCGGAATCGCGATCCACTGAGAAGATCCAACGAGTGAATTTTGTCTACGGTGCTAGTTCGCACGTCAAACTCTTCGTCATGACCGACCAGTTCGACGAGAACCGTGACCATTGCTTGAAAGCCTATAATGACATAGCTGAGCTTTCCTCAAACAGCTACACTAAAAATTTGCTAAAATGGCAAACTCGTGGATTTAAATTACCCGGTTTGTGAACGCAATGCTCCGGACATTAATTAAATATATTAAACATAAATAACTAACGCAATCGTGTAACTTGATCGGTGTTCAATGATCAGCAGCGATCTCATTACTCGGAAGCAGAACTGCGCCCTCAACTGCTTCTTATTTATGTAATACCGAGATTGTAATGTAAATCGTATCCGTAACGTGTGTATAGTCATTGTAGATTACATCATCATTCATTCTGATTACTATTAGCTAATTTTATCAAGTAATTGACATTGTAGATGATGTACTATGTCATTTAAACTTTAATATACTGATATTTAACGTTGTGCATGATAGCAATTGTTACGTTTTCATTTATACAATTTTCGAAAAGAGTTTCGGCGTCAGCAGTGCTATAGAACCGTATTATAATTTTTTTTGGTCAACATTTTCATACTGAGACATTGTTTCTTTTATAGTGGATAAGACATGCCACTATGTGGTATCGGTATACAATAACACCGCCCAATTTCGGTGGATTTCGTAAACAAGTGACTAACAGATTCAGCGGGGAATAGACACAGCATCATACCACCATACTGTGATCAGCAATCGGCATTTACTGATGACAGAGCGCAGTGTTAGCCCACAAGACTAAGTATATTAATACCAAGCCACCTATTTCAGCCGCGAAGCAGTCATGCTTTCTGGTTGCAAACATTCGTCATTCATTCTGGACTGGTCTGGTGTTCCGACAGCGCTACTAAGCCGGTCATTAAATAGAAGTTTGGTAATTTTCAATGTGCTTCACAGTTACGTAAAGAAGTACTGTATTTAAAAATATGGAAGCAACAACAACAATGAATCGCTATGACGACATAAAAACGTTTCTTGATAACCATTTGTCGCGTTGTAAGAATCGCCTAAATTTATCTTTAAAAAACCTAATAGACAAAAATAATTTGTCCACAGATTGAACGTGCGCAGTAAACAAAAGGCTACGATGTTGGAGAGGGCTGTGATCTACTTCTTCCGAAAATACAACACGGACAGTAAGCAGCTCTGGTTACTAATAGGAATGAATCTAGGCCCAGGATTCCTGTCTTGAATACCTTCTACGTTATGTCAAATCTTGGATTAGCTTGGGAAAATACATTATTGTCATTATTATAGTTCTTTTTTTTTATTGCTTAGGTGGATGGGCGAGCTCACAGCCCACCTGATGTTAATTGGTTACTGGAACCCATAGACATCTACAACGTAAATGCACCACCCATCTTGAGATATAAGTTCTAAGGTCTCAGTATAGTTACAACGACTACCCCACCCTTCGAACCGAAACGCATTACTACTTCACGGCGGAAATAGGCGGGGTGGTGGTACCTACCCGTGCGGATTCCCAAGAGGTCCTACCACCAGTGAAAAAGTTCGAAGTTTGTACGCTAAATTTAATTTCAATCCGAAGATGTTAGGGATTTTTAAATTTATTATTATAATAACGATTGTATTCGAATTTCTGACGCTATGATTCATATAAGAAATCATGATTGTTATAAGTATCTTAATAAACATGAACTGATGATGGGTGATGAATGATGGATTCAGGTTCATGAAGCACAAAATACTTAAAACGGTAACGCGGAGACATACGTACGCAATCCAAAGCAAACGCGATCTGATGTCTTAATAGTTTTATTAGCCCAATTCAATAAGAAGCGATCCGGCGGATTTAAAATAAAAAGAACAGCTCTGTCACGCCATTTCGCGTTCACGTCCAGATCGGTCACATAGGACGCCACCCAAGAAAGTATTAACTTAGCAAAACTATATTGACATTTTCGTACTTATTATTGGTGTATCTTAACATGTAAGGTCTCTTGTCTTTGAAATAGGAACGTACATATTATGTTGGCCTCTTGGCAAAAAATAAGTATGATAGTTTTAGCGACGCATGTAAACTAATTAATAATCTACCACCAGCAGTTTATGTTGAGATAGTTTTTGTCTTATGGTCAGGGCATTGGAAATATTTCATGGACACTCCATGTGTTTCTTACTCTGTAGTATTTATTTATGAAGCAATATAGATTTATGATAATTATTCAGTGCTATATTGTTAGTAATCTCATATATTATTAGAAACCAGCTGTTAAAATTTGTATTCGTAAATTTACAAAGCCCTTGATTCAAGTTTAATACAAATAAGCAATACAAAAGGATAAGTAAATGAGGTGTGTTTGTTTCATTAGTAGGTGAGGTGGAGGCACGGTGAAAGGGCATGGAGGGCGCGGAAGGGCAAGAGGAGCTAGATTGGGAAGCGCTGTACCTGCGCCTCCCGCTGCAGAACTGCTCATGGAACTCCACAGGATGGGAGCCGAACTGGAACGTGACTGTGGTGCCCAATACAACCTGGTGGCAGGCATCCGCGCCCTTCGACACGCCCGCTGCCCTGGTTCGCGCCGCAGCCAAAGCCGTCGTGCTCGGCTTACTTATTTTAGCTACTGTTGTTGGTAACGTAACATTTGATCCTATTTTAATACGCTTTTATTAGCTTCAGACGTATGTATGTTAGTATGTAACGGAATATTTTAACATGATATTGACCACCTTCAAAACGTCGGATTGACGCGAAATTTGGTATACTTATTAAAAACCGATGACAAATCAATATTAAAAAAAAATAATTAAAACAATGAAAGTTCAACTAAAGATTGAAAAATAAATAATAGTTTAAAAAAACTAACAAAATACGCTTTCATAGAAAATCCAAGTAAAAAATAGAAAAATTTTTTTAATAAATCAGTAGTTATAAATATTTTATGAACAGATATGAGTAGAAAGAAGTGTTATTTTGATAATTTCCTGAAAAGCACCCCACGCTTTTTTTACAATAAAATCATTATTTTACACTATTTTTAATTTAAATTTATTAAAATTTATTTAGATAGTAAGTAGTTTCATGTGTTTAAGTGCGTATTAAATGCGTGTTAGACGTCATTTTGTTGGTATCAAACCAATATCTGCTATTTGCAAAAAGTATGATTTGTGCACGAAAATTATGTTTGGATACCAACATAATTTTCGTGCACATTACCGTCATATTACCGTCATAATAGTCAAAATGTTAAAATCTCTAACAAATACACAAAGGAGATATTTATTTGGAAACGAAGAGATGTTGGTTTATAGGTAAGTTCGAAATATATCACCAAGCCGAAATTAGAATTTTAATAAAAGAAGGCTACTCTGTGTATTTCTTTGTGGGCAAATAAACAGAATTATAGTTTGTTTATATCTTAATAGCAGTTTAATTTAAGAAGTATAATATATAATTAAACAAAAGCCGGTAACTGAATAAGCAATAGCCTCCTTAACAAAACTACAACAGATAAACGAATACTCTTTATTTTTCCCTGATGCACTTTATGATACGGAAGCATTTTCATGAATGTGTTATAATTTGTTTCAGAGCTCATAACATAAAATCCCAAGATAAAACGTTTTTCTAGAACAATTTAAAAAAACACTACAGTCGGTTTCCTAAAGCGAATAAAAAAAAGAAACAACATTATTTTAGGAAAATAAACCTAACCCAATTTTCGATCTCGCACAACATCCATTCTAATAACAGATTTTTCTTTCAACCTTTCTCATAACGGGTTGGAGCCAGGCCGCAATCAATCTCGTACGTGGCTGGTGTAAAAGAGATCAATATTTCAAACTATTATGGATAAACCTCCAGATTGATACCGAGTTTGTGAAATTTCGCTTTCGTAACACGAAACCTTTTCAATATTTCACTTCAAAATTACAACAAATTAAATTTAGCCCTACGTTTGGAACGATGTTCCTTATGGGACGATGCGGAGGGGTACCCTAACCGGGAAAAAGCGTCCGTAACGTAAGATTTTTATTATTATAGTAATGCACACAGTGTATGACGTAACTTTGTAATAACGTACAAAAAATAACATATTTTTTTATGATTCATTGACCACGATCTCAGAGCGTTCGTTTGCGCAATACACTAACTCTTATGCAAACAACCGTGAATGAAGCACAATAAGTTCGCACGCTACTGCAAGACCGTGGGTTGTTGCGAAACCTCCAGTTTTTTTTTATACCTCGAATTGAACCTAAAATTAATATTTTTATAATAAGGAACTTCGATCCTATCCGGAGTCCCACGATACCACACATCTTTTTTTGTTACCATACGTAAAAACGTTATCTTAAATCCCAAATGGTGGTACTTGGGTACCTTCACTAATCAGCAATATGAAAAGCACAGTTCATCCGCTGCCTACATTTTAGAACGCTTCTACGGTTATTGATTTTTAATAGATCACAATAGGAAATGTAAATTATAGGTTTCTTACGTACTTTAAAATGGCAAGCCAAACTTCATATTAAGCAGTCAAAGCAAATAGGGTTCACTTTAATATAAATAAAACTCCTAATACAAAGTGAAAGGCTGTCATTGAATAGGTTTCTGTCTGTGAACTTAACAAAATAACTGTATTATATTGTGACTCAAAGTGACAAGTGACAATGATTGTAGTCGAAACGAATTTGTTATCTCGACCAAACTTGATGTCAGCAGAACGTGAACTGTATTATTTATTTACTTAAATGTATCTATACTAATATTATAAAGAGGAAAGCTTTGTTTGTTTGTTTGTATTGAATAGGCTCCGAAACTACTGAACCGATTTGAAAAATTATTTCACTGTTTGAAAGCTACACTATTCCTGAGTGACATAGGCTATAATCTTTTTTGAAAAAATTATGGATCCTTACTAAAACTCCAATAATGTAACCCAAGGTGTAAAAAAAGTACCTAAAATATTCTTTACATCGCGTGCCCTGCGAAAACTATTGATGATAGAATAAAATAATGTAGGTACTACGACTTTGTAGAACACATTATTAAGCTATTGCATAGATTTTATCGTGGGCCTTGAGCGCGACTTGAGAGCGGAGTCCAGAAATTTCGTAACGAAAATAGCCTGACACCCCCACTACGCAATAACTAAAACAATAATTAAACCAATAACTAAAACCGCGCAAGGTTCAAAGGCAGCCCGAGGAAAGTGCGCGTCTAGTGCATTTGAGCGAATACATAAAAAATCGACCATAGTCTCTGATAACTCAATATTTCTCAAAAATTTTAACTAAGTAGTAAAATCAGAATCAGTTATATAAGAAATAAAAAATATACAAGTTTTTTCGTTATCTCTTTGTACATATACCAGATCAGATGCAAGTATGGCTCTTATAATATATTATAAGTAAAAAAATATATTTTTTATTTCGTAGATATGTGATGTTAAATCTCAAATATACAGTAGCTATTTATTAATAATCCTTTTCCGCAAATAATAAAGATCGACCTTAGCCGATCTTAACACATAAGAAATACGAAGCGTGTATGAGTTTTAAAAATCCCTAAGGAAAACAGATAGAGTGGTTTCTAAGATGAAGGAAATACATTTTATTCGGACGGTAATAGCAGAGCAACGGTATTTGATACTTTAGAATATTTTAGCTTTTAACATAACGAATTCGGAATTTGTGTTTGTTTGTTTGTTCGTATTCTATGTATTCACGCGTCGCTTATCAGAGTTGAAACTTTGTACAGGCCTTTTATTATTAGAACTTCACGGAAGGCTTCGGACAGTACTTTCAACATATGACAGGTTGCGCATGAGTTGTTTCTGTATAACGTGTAGTCGGTATAGTTTTCATCTATATCTATACTAATATATAAATCTACAGTGGTTTTTATGGATGTTCCGTTATAACTACTGAACCATGCATCCGATCGACTTGAAACTTGGTGTCCATGTAGAAAATACGTGTACTTAATGGATAGGTTAATATTTATATGAGTGTTGGCCTCGCTACACCAGTTGCGGGGGCATTAATGATGAGAATCTTTGTGGGGGTGAAAAATAATAATGTTAATTTTAAATGGCCAGCGAAGCAAACGGATACAGCTGGTTCGTATATAAAACTTTGGTTGTAACAGAGAAATTTTGTTAGTGGATCACGAGTCTGATCCGGTGGTAGATTCTGCTTTATACTGCTCTGCCTAGGGTTAATGTTAGCAAATTCTCTCCGGCTGAGTCCGTCTGGCTTACCTACCCGTTTGCGCGTAGCTAGAATAGACCCTTAACTCTCTCGGCTACCAGCGAATAGGTAGGGAAAAAGAGTGAAATTTAAAGCGCTAACATTAAACGTTAATTTTTATATTTCGTAACTCAGTTTAATACATATAATTTGCAGGTAATGTGTTCGTGATAGCTGCAATATTGTTAGAGAGACACCTCCGTAGTGCGGCCAACAATCTGATCCTGTCCTTGGCCGTGGCTGACTTGCTAGTGGCCTGTTTGGTGATGCCCCTCGGCGCGGTATACGAAGTCGCGCAAAGATGGACCCTCGGACCAGAACTTTGCGATATGTGGACTTCAGGCGATGTCCTGTGTTGTACTGCTTCTATCCTACATCTAGTCGCTATTGCACTCGACAGGTACGCACTTTCAAACACTGAATAACTGTAGACTTTAGAAAATATTTCGCTAATCTTAACTTCCTATCATTGTTTTAGGTACTGGGCTGTGACCAACATTGACTACATACACGCCCGTACAGCTAAGCGGGTGGGTATGATGATCGCCTGTGTATGGACTGTTAGTTTTTTTGTGTGCATAGCTCCGTTGTTGGGATGGAAAGATCCGGACTGGAACCGACGCGTATCCGAAGATCTTAGATGCGTGGTCAGTCAAGACGTTGGATACCAGATTTTTGCGACGGCTTCATCATTCTATGTGCCGGTTCTGATTATTTTAATTTTATACTGGCGGATATATCAAACCGCTAGGAAAAGAATACGTCGAAGACGTGGAGCTACAGCCCGCGGCGGAGTTGGACCCCCGCCCGTGCCTGCCGGCGGAGCACTGGTCGCCGCCGGGGGCAGCGGAGGTATTGCGGCGGCAGTCGTCGCCGTTATCGGACGACCTCTTCCAACGATATCTGAAACGACCACGACCGGTTTCACGAATGTTTCATCGAACAACACGAGCCCCGAAAAACAATCTTGTGCCAACGGCCTCGAGGCAGATCCGCCGACCACGGGTTACGGTGCTGTAGCAGCGGCATACTATCCGTCGCTCGTGCGTCGCAAGCCCAAAGAAGCCGCTGACTCTAAACGGGAAAGAAAAGCGGCTAAGACATTAGCTATAATCACTGGAGCCTTTGTGGCATGCTGGCTTCCTTTCTTCGTGTTAGCGATTCTCGTTCCGACGTGTGATTGTGAAGTGAGTCCCGTGCTGACTTCGCTGTCTCTCTGGCTTGGATATTTCAATTCTACTTTGAATCCTGTAATATATACGGTGTTCAGTCCCGAGTTTAGACACGCGTTTCAGCGTCTGCTGTGCGGTCGACGGGTGCGCCGCCGCCGCGCCCCGCAGTAGTTACCTACCCTCGTAGATCTTTCAATCCTACCCGACTGACCACGTCTAGTTCGCATACACTTACGTTATCTTGTTACATTTTCAGAGATATATTTATACCCCTTTATTTTTTGTACGTAATTAATATAATTATAATAAATGTAATGAAAACCTGTCTAGTAAATAAATCACAAATTCTCTTTAAATTCATGTTGTTTTATTTAACCCGATAATCAAGTTTAAATTTTTATAAAAAACTAGCTGACCCGGCAGACTTCGTAGTGCCTCAATCTATAAATAAAATACCTAAACTTTTGTATAAAATAAATTTAAAACAAAGAAAAGGAATCCGTCCGACGGAGGACACATCAGAAGAAAAACAAAATTGTTATTTTTATTCAATTCCGAACATTTTTATTCATTTATCTACCTTTTAAACCTTCTTTTAACAAATAATTCAAGACCAAAATTAGCCAAATCGGTGAACCCGTTCTCGAGTTTTAGCGAGACTAACGAACAGCAATTCATTTTTATATAATAGATAGATAGATACATATATTGAATTTTTCTCAAGTTGACTTATTTGACTGGCTATTGACGTACTGATGTGTTAGTGTTGTTGTGCTGCGACCACTTGGTACTTATTAGGTGGTAACAGATCTCGAAGCTTCACTGGTGGTAGGACCTCTTGTGAGTTCGCACGAGTAGGTACCATCACCCCGCCTATTTCTGCCGTGAAGCAGTAATGCGTTTCTGTTTGAAAGGTATAAGTTGCCTTTGGTATGATTATAGATATTTTTGAAAGTCGTCGTGGCCTAAAGTATACCTATTTCTGCCGTGAAACAGTAATGCGTTTCGGCTTGAAGGGTGGGGCAGCCGTTGTAACTGTACTTGAGACCTTAGAACTTATATCTCAAGGTGAGTGGCGCATTTACGTTGTAGATGTCTATGTGGTCCAGTAACCCCTTAACACCAGGTGAGCTGTGAGCTCGTCCACTCGTCTAAGAAATAAATCTAAAAATAAAAAAAGCGCTAACACCACTACGTGAATACTTTCCCCGGCTTAGTGTGTACAGCCGATGTTTCAATTACTTCGTCACAGTGGGTCTCTTATCATTCTAAACGAAACATAGCTAATTCAGGATAGATATAAACAAAATTGCGACGCCTGAGATCGACGATCTTTATTTTCCTAGCAGGACGGTATTCTTTCAATGGTAAAAGACCTTTCGTGAACATCTATAAAATATTTTTTTATTTAATGAGCATATTATAGTTGCATATCGTCTATGCAGCAATTTTTATTCGTAACTTTAAATGTTATTCATATACTAATGTTATGATTAATTTCAACCACCGAAAATACCATTGTTGGGTCGTTTTCAATTTTACGGCCAAAAAAGTAACGATTTCATGAATTTAAACTTTCTCAAATTTTCCATTCTTTCTGATTAAATAAAATTGCCGCATTTGAATATCGAACCAGTGATACGAATGAGATTTGGGGTAGTATTTAATGTATAACTCCTAATTTAACAGTGCTTACGAATATATAGTTATAGGACCACGTGCCTTTTGTCATGACAACAAATTTACTGTACTTATAATTACGGTAACATTAAGTTTATGAGAATTAAATCAAATAACTCGCTTTTGGACCCTAATTAGTTCTAAGTATCTACTATGTCTTCGATTTGAAGTACGCGCTAATAAAAAAATTCACAACACAAAAGATTTCGAATCTCTTTCAAACTCGTTAAAAATACTGTGTCGTAATTTTTTTTTTCTTATACTAATACTTTTCTTGAGTTCTTATATTGACCGTAAACCTCGGATGGTGTCATTTAACGAAGGAATGTTCATATCTTTAATGTGCCATTATGATCCCCGCTTGTCTTTATATGTTACGGGACAATATTTTTTTTATTATTATTACTAAAAAGATAAGTTACATCGTAATTTTCTTTCTATATTGCTTAATAGGCGATAACGATTTTGTGAGCACTTGTGTACGATAATTGTCAATACACATCATAATAAATAACTGATTTCTCTGACGTGCAATCAATAATGAATCTATCATGTAAATTCAGGATAACAACTTAAAGCCATCGTAATTCCACAGACAGAATAAATTTGCTGTAAAATAAATGAAGCTTTGATAAATTTACGTATTTTCCACGCCCTCCATTTGTCATTCTCGTAAATATATATATTTTTAAGAGAGCCCATGTACGAAGTTTGAAAATTGGGCTTTGTAAGTACGGTTTTCTAGATAGCTTTGTTATGAAATGATTAAAACAAAGGTTTAGTACTAGATTCGGATATCGTGGACATAAAAGAAAAAAATCGTTTTAATTAGCAAATTATTATTACCTAATAGTTTTTTATTATTATTATTTAATAATAACATTATTAAATAATAATATTATAATAATTTTCAAAAGTTAAATTACCAATATATATTAAATGAACCGATTTGTTTGGGGTTATTCGATATCCTCATAATCCCATTCTGGTCTTATTCGAAATATAAGTTATTATTTTATACCAGGGTAAGATTATAATAAAGTAACAAATATTCATGTCATATTATGTGAATGAAGTTACCAATGTCGGTATTTGCTACAGAAAACAAATAAAAAAAACAGTAAACAGTAAATCTCAGAACATAAATTTTGCGGCCGAGATAGATACCTCTCTCGACAAATGTATTCAGCATTTCTAACATTCAATCGAATAGGGAGTACTCGGAGGATAGTTTTGTGTGCACTATAGTATTGATTGGCGTACCTCAACTGTTTCCCATCATAAATTGGTTTGTGAATCCATTGTACACTCCAGCGTTATCCAATCCACAATGTACACACGTATCGATTCCCAAATTTGCATACAGATTTAAAATCTGCTTTCAAATCGAACTACCGAGCCTACAGTTCTAAAATAAATTAGATCACGCAGTCCTTTAATTGAAATAACCGTTTACATTACTGTATAAAACCTTCCTGCGTGCTCATTAATTCCTTAATCCGGGTTGACTATAAAAGCCACTCCTATTGTGCCCATTTCTAATCTGCCTTCAATACCCTCTGTGAGTTAGTGAGGCCCGGCCGCCCATTCCAGTCGGCTTTGGATCAAAACTAACATTCCCAATTCACTATAAACGGAAACTCTCAGATCACAGTAAATCTAACTTAAAACTTTGTCAAAGTAACTTTAGCCATAAACAATAGTAGACTTACTACTGCCTTGTACTGGCCTATATTCACCTAAGTATTTATATCAACGGACGAGATGTGGCAGGACGAGATTGTATCGAAAGCAGAAAAAGACTGGATGACCACTGCTAAATAGAGGATAAATGGAATTCTTTGGAGGAGGTTTTTAACCTGAGGGGGTCCACATTAGAAGGAGATTAAATTGCACGAGTAGCAGATTGATTAACCTTAATTAGTAATATAATGATTAAATTTATAATTATAGTGGAATCAAATAAATCTATTTTATTGTTATTATTATTCATATTAAATGTCGTTCAAAAGGCTGTCATTATTTTCTTAAAAAACGAGTAGGCTTTAGCTGAGCCACGATTTATCTTAAACGAAACATTACAAGTTTGCTGATCTCTAATGTATTGTACTTGTAACATTTAAATCTGTAATAAGGAATCACTTCTAATAACTTTACTCTTAATTAATTTCTCTATTTTTATTATTATTAATTTGTAATTAATTTTATTTACTAATTAATATATTAATTAATTAGTTTATTAATCAAATTTTAATTATTTTAATGAAATCTTAATTAATTAACAATTAATTTATGAATTAACAATTCATATTTATTTTCTTTATTCTGGCCCACCTAAAGTTTTTGTGGAAGAGTTTCTTTTTTATTTTGGGGCTTAAATAATGTAACTGAATTTTGAAGTAAACACAAAAGCAGCACTAGGTACTTCATAAATTTATGCGGTATCATTTAAAAAAGAATTAATCTTGTACAAGCTCTTAATTTCGAACAATCGGAATTGAAACAAACAATATCGATCGTAATTAGCGACTGTTATGACACGAACACAGAATGACAACACGAATCTAATGACAACATGCAAATTCCTGATTCCATAACACAACAATTTTAGTTCGACAAGATTACACGTTGTTTGATTTGAATAATAGATTGTACATTGAATATTGTGACGAGTACGCGTTTATAAACATAATGGCTCTCAATCAGCGCCCCTCGTTAACTGGATGGAGCACAAAGTTTGACAGCAACTGTTCTCAACGAACGAACTTGACTTTCCACACCATTTGGTGCTGTGACCAGCGAAAACTTTACGTAACAAACATGGTCGTATCCGTTTAATAAACCAATATGATCGAACGAACCATAGCAGACGGTATATAGTCGGAAGCCGACCCAACAACGAAAGCACGAGTAAGTTGGTTTGCATAAATTTCAATGATTTATTAACTTAAACAAAACTGTATGTTATAGTACGTTATTGTACGTCCTTCGAAAATTACCACATACATAAGGCAGTTGAAAACTATTTTCAGTTCGAATTTAAAGATTTCCTTAAACTCGTTCTTAGTTGAAGTATATGTATGTAATTTTTAAACTCTAATTATGAGGAAGGTACTTACTGGTGGTAGGACCTCTTGTGAGTTCGCACGGGTAGGTACCACCGCCCTGCCTATTTCTGCCGTGAAACAGTAATGCGTTTCGGTTTGAAGGGTGGGGCAGCCGTTGTAACTATACTGAGACCTTAGAACTTATATCTCAAGGTGTGTGGCGCATTTACGTTGTAGATGTCTATGGGTTCCAGTAACCACTTAACACCAGGTGGGCTGTGAGCTCGTCCACACATCTAGGCAACAACAAAAAAAAAGAAGACCTCTCAGCACATTGGGTATTAAGCGGTTACCGAATACCGTAGAAATTACTACACTAATGCTTCCATTCAAAGTTTAAATCAGAACGCATGACTGCTTCGTGGCTAGTCTATCTAAGACGGTATCTACCCATATGGACTTATAATATAGAACATACCTATATATCACATTTAGGACACCAGAATCAAATTTTTACGATATGAACAAATTTCCCCTAAAATGTTCATACTTTATTATCGCATTATTCCAGTTCACAGGTGAGAGAGAAACTTGAATTCAATTAATC